GGGCTGAAGTGCAAATGTCTGCAAAGAAAGAAATAAATTTCACTCATAAATACAGCAGCGAGAATCAGCCTCATCTAAATGCTGCTCAGCGTCCTCTGCACTGCCAGTGGTTCAGGAGGTGCCTATTTCATATGTATTTCTTTATTGTTATTTTCTGTCATTATGTGCTGTGTTATTTCTGCTGCCACAGCACCCAGAAAACACAGCTCCTCATCCAGAGTAAATGCATTAAAGCAGAAGTGATTTATGCCCCAGGTGCAGTGAGGCAGGACTGCATGCTCACACCAGCTGCTGTCACCTGGGTGAGCAGCAATCCTGCCATCTCTTTGCAGCCTGAGAATACACCAAAGGTCTCTGCTCAGATGGAATCACAGCTTAAGATGGACCAGAAAGCATGTAAAAAGTCAGGTATATTACCTTACTTTCTAGTGTATCTGTCCTCTTCCTTATGGACTTGGAGACTTTTTCTGGTTGTGAACATCAATTATCTCCCCAGCTTCAGTGAGCAGCTTTGATTTAGACCTGTGAGTCTTTTCTTATAAATAATCAAAGCTTTTAATATCATTAACTATAGTGACACCCTTGTAACTTTGCTAAAAATTGCCTAACACCTGTCAAGAAATTTGTTTTATTAACTTAATCAGTGACAGGATTTATCCAGTTGGTGGCCAGTCATTCTCTAAAGAATCATTTTATTTTGGATGCCTACACATTTTAAAAATGTTTAATGTTTGCATGTTTTTCTCTGTCATTTGTGAGTGACTACACGTTCTGCTCTACAGAAAAACCAATTTGGAAGGTCCTAATTTGTACAGTGGGTGCAATTAAAATGAGAGGACCAGACATAATGAGAACTGGCAACAGGCTGTGGAGGGTTATGAAGGGAGACAGCACAAGAAGAGATGTACATTCATTCTTGAGAGGGCATTTTTTGACACATGGTACAACTTGTGTTATGCTGAAGTCTGGATTGGGAACATCTAATTGCAATCAATGATAGCATCAAGTGGACCAAGTGCATATTAACATAGATATTAACAAGATAAAACAACTGGGTGAAAAATTAAATTCAATTGATGTTTTTACTGCGCAGCATTTAGGATTCTTGAGGGGAATATGATTCTGTCCATGCCAGTCTAGTCTGTGAACCCAAGAGAATAGATGCATTTTCTGGGGCCTTTCTGGCAGGCTGCTACCTCCTGATTCAGAGAAGCAGACATCTCTCACACCCAGCAATCACAGCACATTCATTCCAGGGATTAATTGCCTTAATTCAGTAGCAGCCACATCTGGAGTTTGTTCTGTGGACCACCTCCTGGGAGAAGCAGCCTCACTGTGTATCTTCACCCTTTTTGTCATACTGTTGAGATTTTAAACATCTCATGCAGAAACTGTGTGTGTTTGTAGGAGGCCTGGGGTGCTTGAGCTCTGGTTTTGGGTGAGCCCCCCAAGTATGACCAATGGCCTCTGAAGGTGTGTGGCCATGGCAGGACCTGTGTTTTGTTTTATGGGACAGCCATGGTGGAGCTGTGTCTCTGCTGGTGGAGGTGAACATAGAAAAGCTGGCCTCATGTTCCCAGTGATCCATTCAGTCAGTTCTCACTTGATGTTTAATCAAAATTTGTAATTAAAATCTTTAAAAGAATAGTTTTATCCCTTTGAAACCCCTACCATTAGTAGGTAAAACAAGATCTTGCAATGCTTTTACTGTATCTGAATAATTCTCAAAAGATATGACATGTAGCCTGGCCCAGGGAAACACAGCCCTCAACCCACACCTGTTGAAAACAGTGCAGTTTATTTATTTTCTGTCTGCAATCATCTTCATACATATCACATACCCACAACTCAAATAAGTGATTTAAAGAGCATGGCCCAAAGTTTTTCAAATCAGGGTAAACTAAACGATTTTTGAAGTGTTCTCTCCTGCATCAAGTTTGCAGTGAAAATGAAGAAATTAATCCTGTCCTGCATGTCTGAAGTTTTATCCCTGGTTACACAGCTGGGGTCAGGTTTGGCACAAGCAGTAATTGGATGTCTTCATGGGCATTGCTCAGGATGCACCGTGGAGCTCTTCTGGAATCAACTGCACTGCAATGTATATTTTAATACCTTTACCTTTCAGTTAGGTATTGAAAACAATATATCAAGTTGAAAGGCAATAAAAACCTTTGTGTAAATATGCCCTAGAGGTAGGTTGATTGAACTGTATTTTTTTTTTTTTTTTCATTCCTGGAGTCTGGTGAGAAAAGTCTTTGTTGGAGAGATGATGCACTGCTGGATTTTATAACAAGGTTCTAAAAGAACTTCTAACAAAGAAAGAAGTGTGGACTTGGGGAGGGGGGCAGGAGAGCGTTGAGTTTTTTTTTAGTTTCAATTCATCTCAGTATTTTAACTGTATTTTAACTGTACAATTTCTTGTAAGAGTTTTGTATAAAGATTCTTGACCAGTTCATGTTAGCTTTTATGAATGTATTTTTGCTAATGCCAAGCATCTTTCCAACTGTTGTCACCAGTGTGTTCAATGTTTGTGACAAACTCACACCTTTATTCTATAAACCCAGAATTTCAGCACACTGTTGAAATATTGATAAAGGATTGAGCACCAGCACTGTGGTTTTGCTCATTTTATACCTGTCTAATTACTGAAAAATTATGGCCCTACACATAATGTGGATTTTACCTATTTTTCCTCTGATATTATAGTGTTTCTATATGGTGCTTGGCTCTGGTAATGGGCACACTTAGACTAAGATTGTGGTCAGTAGGGAGAGAAGAGTAGAGGGATTTCATCAGCATCATCTGCAGTGCTCTGGTTTCCCATCAGCCAGGGAGATGTTGGGCCCCCAAGTGAAAAGGGAAGGAAAAAGAAACAGGTCTTGAGCTCTGGACATTTTGTACTTACATGTTGGTTATAAGGACCTGCAGCGTCAAAGAAACTCAGATGCTAAATCTGAAACTGCAGAGAAGCCAAGTCTCAGAGTTAAAAACCCAGGAAATCATCCAGTCTTCCTGGAATCATAAAAATCTCTCTAAAAATAATGAGATTATATAAAAATTTCAGTTGAGTTCTTGGTTTTTAGCCTTTAGGGTGTACTTGAGCCATGTAGCCAGACTGTTCCCTGTAAGCCTGAAACCTAACAGATACCAAAATAAAACAAAATAAAAATGAGAGCTGGGCCACAACATTACTCATGTCTTCACAAGCTCAGACTTTACAAAAAAAGCCCACAAGTACCCAAAGGCTGAGGACAAACTTAGGACGCTTGGCAATATCATTACTGCAAGTATAGGAGAAGGAGAGAGTGAAGTTGTCTAGAAATTGATGCTGAGCTTAGGCTGTCTGGACTGAATGTGCAAGAAGAAAACCAAACACATTATTAATGTTAAGAAAATGAGTCCCCTGCAAATTCTTACCTTTTTTTTTTTTTTTTTGTCCTTAAATATATAGTTTAAGGTGCCATTTGGAACTAAGGAAAGAAAATTTGTTTTATTTTTGAAGATATATTCTTTTCAACTTGACAGTACCCTTTTCAATAATTCAATGAGATCAGTGAGAAATAAAAAAGGAGCTGTAGTGAGTCAACTTTGCAGCTCAGCAGTGAGTGAGTGGTACTGCAGCCTCAACACAGGTAATAAAAGGGAGAAAGAAAGATCAGGGCAGAGAGCCTGAAAATTAATAAACCAGCTGAAAATTTCTTTAGTGACAGACTTATGGAGCAAGGAGAGACATATTATCTCTTTTTCTCATTTTGCATGATGAAATTATGCCTTGAAAGTAGCTGGAAAAAAATTTCATCATGTAGAGCATTGTACTTGCCTCTTGGATTTACTTTCATTTTTCTTTGGCAAATTTTCCTGTGGGAAAAATAGGCACCAAACTTCATTTGACCCGTGTTCTACTTGGGTTTCTTTTCTGTTCTAAATGCGTCCTTTCTACTTTCTTCTTCATGAAATAAGGGAAGGGCAAACAGCACATGACCTCAGTTGTTGGTATGAAATATGACAGGATAAGCACTGGTAATAAAACAAGAAACTCCCCTTTTTCCCTTCCAGGCACCAGAAAAAGCTCACATCTTCAGGCAAACCTCATATTTTAGGATTATCTCTAATTGGGATGTACCAGACTTAGAGGTTTTAACTGCAGATTCTCAGAATTCACTAAACTGATCAAAGGGGAGCTTTTTACCAGCAAATCTGTGTCTCCTGGGCCCATCTCTTATCACACACAGAAAGAGGGTGGAAAAAATAAGAACCCTTTTCTCTCCTCTTGCCAAGCATGGATCAGTGTGGGAACTTGAACCTACCAGCTGACAAAAGTAGGAATTTTGCTCTGAATCTTTGATTCAGGGAAAACCCTTTGGTTTTGTGTTGTGTTGCACTCTGGAGAAGGTTTATAGGGCTGTCAGATACTGGCTGATCCCAAAAGTCCTGCCAACATGGAAGTATTTTTGGTTGATGATGGAGCTTCCCACCCTAAATACTTAATAGCTCTCCTGCTGATGTTTTGCATCAGAGCTGGGGACTGGAACCGGCTTCCCTGGTCATAAGGAAATGAGAAAATTGCTTTTCTGTGACAGACTGTTCCTGTGGCTCACTCTGCAGTGGGGGACTCGCTCTCCACTGAGCACATTAACACAGCTGGGACACAAACAGAACCTGGAAGGTCTTGAGATGGGCTCAGCCAAGGTGATGGCTCACCATGGGGGTGATGGTGCTGCTGAAATCCTCCTGCCAGCTAGGAATGTCATCAGCACCTCAGTTTGGGGAGGACCCTCGCATGGTTTGCACCCACTGATGACTCCAGGACTTGGAAATGCAGGCAGAGGGCAACCAGGGGATGAAGGCATCTTGAGCAATGAACTGATGGAAGGAGAAATTTGGAGTCATGTTTCCAAATGAATTCAGCTCTTCATCTTTCACAGAGGTCACTGATTTGTTAGAAAACGTGGCTAGAATAGAGCTTGCTGACATTATCAGTGATTTAAAATGAACTTGGCTTTTTTTGGGAATAATCACAGGTGCTTTCTTTAAAGCAGGATGGAGAAGCAGTGTCCCTAGTGGGACTGACAGTGTGCTCAGGGGATGAAGGGTTATAGCATGTCCCATGCTTTTTCCCTGACATAATGGCTCCCAGTCATTGGCAGGGATGAGAACAACCCAAAGGATTTCAAAGGATAGAAAGCCCCATCTTGAAGGAATAAGCCAATATTTAAGTAATGAGGGTTAGCACAAAGCTTTCCCAGGGCTGGTGGTCTCTTAAAGCCCTATGGCAGTGCTCTTACACGTTCCTGTAACAGACATAAACCAGTGTCACAGCACTTGCTGGACTAGATCCACCTTTTTGATGGATGTTTCATATATTGAGCACCAGAAAATCTGTTGAGAAAGCAGAAAGGGAAAAGAGGGAGATCATCAGCTGGTATAAAGCAGAACAAGTCCATTAGCATCAATGGCACGCAGCTGGCACCAGCTGAGGCACTTCTTTGGCTTTTCCCTGCAGAGCTGCAGTGTGTTGCTTGTCTGAGAGCTGGCAGGACATGAAAACCCCTGCCAAGTTGTGTGTATGAGAAAATGTCTCATCTGTGTGCGAGGGGCCATTGCTTGGGTGGGCACACAATGGTCTCAGTGCACCCTTACACCCAGGAAACCTCTGAATTGCTGATCCTGAGAGATCAAGGGAGTGAATCAGGAATATCTCCATATTTTCTCTTTTTTTTATGCTTTCCATACAGGCATTTGTTACAAGCTGGGAGGCATTTTGCTGGAACTGCCCTTTGGTCTGAGCCAGTGTGGTGGCTCCTGCCACACAGACAGGTGGTTGAGGGGGTCTGTAATTTCCACAGCAGGCAGACAGAAGAGAAAGCACTGAACCCACTTTATCTCTCTTGCTCAGTTGAACTTTTGTGGCTGTGTGTGTGTGTAAGCACCACAGGGCACCCTTTGCAGGGCAAGCACACCTTGAGGTGATCTCCAACCAGGCAAGAGGACAAACCCTTTGCAGCAGAGTTGCACGTAGCATTTAGAGATAAACCTGAAAAAAAAGGGCTGGAAACCTGCAGAGTCAGAGCCTCTTTATGGTTGTGCTTGTGCAGTTAAGGCTGAGATTGTTGTGGCTGACAAGCAGCAGCATCTCAAGGGCTGTTTCCAAGCCTGGCCGTGGCGTCGGGAGACTCGAGCTGGGCACGCAGAGCTGGGCTGGCAGCCACCAGCATGTTTGATGTGATGCCACTGAGAAGCAGACAGTAGGAAAGCTTAAAAGTGGGGTTGTTTGTTAATGCTCCCTTGGAGGCCCTGCTGGAACATGGTTGGTGCCTGCAGGCAGCGTGGGGTGCACCCCCCAACCCAGGGGGAGCGGAAGGTTGTCCATGCTACAGTAATATCCATAATCTTGGAGTCAGAGAAAACATTGGGATCTAAAGGAATCTGCCTCATGCCTGGTGCTTTTCCCTAGTGCTCTTCCCATTCTTCCCCATGTTGCCTCAGGGTTGATGCAGAGGAGCAGTGTCATTGACTCAGCTCTGGCTGCAGTCTGAGCTGTGACTTTGCCTGTGGCAGACTGGGATGGCTGATGGGCAAATCTTGTTTATTTGAGTCCATGGCCTGAATCAAGGATGATCCATGCAGCTCCTCCTTTCCCATTTCCCCAGCTGTTGCTCCTGGCATCTGCCCTCTTCTCATGTTTTATGTCACTTGGGATCAACTGTATAAAAGGACCAGACAGTCTGAAAGCATCATCATTGGTGATTCAGAGTTGGGTATGAGGTGCTTTTTCCTTCTGCACAACAGATTTTTTTTCCTAATTCAAAACTAGCTCAGATATCTCTGCAGGTGCTTTGCTGATGATACACAAGAGGGACCAAATGCACTCTTGTTTAGTTGGACTGACTATTCAAAGAGAATGCTGGTAAAAATCAACACATCCCAATTTTTTTATTTTCTTTTATTTTTCTCATCGTGAAGATGCTATTCAGGATGCAAAGAATGAGGAGGTCTGTGGAAAAAGAAGATGCTTTTACAGATACTTTTTGCAGAGCTGCGCTTGAAGTGTTTTGTTTGGATTTTTAAATGTCAAGGCAGTCCTACTGTTTAATTGAGATTTAAATACGAAATAGGTTCCCAAACAAGCACAGACTGTGCAATGTCATGTCCAATATTAAACCTGGCACTTGGCTACCTCTGCCCTTCCATTTAAACAGTTTTACAAAGTTGAGCACGTGTAAAATTTGGAAGGGCTGCACTAAAGGGATGCCTGCATTCCCTCATCTTCTCTATTTGTTAAGTACTTAATTATTTTTGTTGCCTTCTTACCTATTCATAAGTGGGAGCTGCTCTGCGTCTGATGTGGGCAATTTCTCATTGTACTGTGCTTCCAAATTGACATTTATAAATTAAACAGCGGTGTAACATCCCAGAGAGCACCACTGTGGCACAATTAGGAATGTAATTGCATGGAGTCACCTGGGAGGCAGCTGGGATGGGGAAGGCATTGCAGGTTTTAGAGATGGGGTGACAGAGGCAGCACCAGTGTGCAGAAAACTCACCCAGACTTCTCCATTAAAATTATACTCACCACTTTACCCTGGGGAGAGAGGGTGGAAAAGGCATTCGAGAGCCGAGTGCAGGGTCTGCTTTCACTGAACTCAGATGGATTTTCTCTTTAACATCACCTGGAGCAACATATTGATTCCTTGTGCAGAAATTGTAATGCCTTGTGCTAGGCATGGAAAAAACACTGGAAAGAGCAATTAATTTCTCTCCTCCTACATGCTGAGATCTGTTACAGGTGCGTGGGTCCTTGAAGGCCCATGGGACCACCTTGCCTCCTCCCAGGTGGGATGCTCTCCCAAATAATGTTGCACAGGACTGAGCTTTCAGGTAGAACCAAGCCAGATACAAGCTTGGAGAACTTGGGAGAGGAAACCATATGCTCCCTAAGCTCTCTAGAGTTGCATTTACTTCTGCTTTGATCACATGGGTTGGCTTGTAGCCTCCTTTCAGATGTGATTATCATCCTAATTGGCCCTAATGAGAACTACACATGCAGAGGAAAGGGGATAACGAGTATTCCACCCCCAACCTTGTTGTATATTCCACCCCCAACCTTGTTGTATCTCCAAATTACAAGTTATAGGAAAAAAGATGTGTCTCTTTTTATGTGTGTGTATGTATGTATATATATATATGTATATATGTGTGTGTGCGTATGTATGTATATATATATGAGGGATATATATTTATATACGAACTGGAGTAAAGACTAAACAGGTGATTCTGGATGCATCCTGCTTGTGCTGCTCCAGTGTCACCCTTGTGCTACCAGCAGTCATCAGTCCTGCCCTGGGAAGGGCAATCCCTCTGTGTGAAGCTGCCCATGTGTCTGCCTGGCAGAGCTGCTGTTCGTGAGGGACCAATCTCACTTCCTGCTCGTGAGTTTCAACATGTGACTGGGTTGAATCTATGAAATTTGCTTCTTGTTGGGTAAACAAATTGTGGTAACGTGCCAGGGACTGCTGACACTGTCTGTGTTTGAGCAAGTGACCTCCTGGAGAAGGGCCCCTCAGCAGCTTTATGATTAACATTTTAATGGCATGGTATCAGGGAACATTTTTCCCAGGAACAAATACCCGGAAAAAAACACGTCTTAACTGCTTCTGTGGTTGGAATTGGCACTGCATGGTTGCTAGGTGTGCTGGAGGCTGTCCAGGGTCAGGTGAGGAAGAAGAGGTTTCCTTGGAGCTCTTTAAGGTCCTCTTCTATCACTGGGAAGGAAAAAAACTGCTTGCATGATTATACCTCCTCTGTTTCTGCTTAACTGGATAAATGGCACTCTGGGCCATTTATTAGTCCAGGCTGTTGTGATTTATTGGATGATGTTTGGAGTGGTGCCTCTGGTTTATTGGAGTTGCATCCTCTCTTGGAGTTGGGATTAACCAGGGCTGTGCACAGCTTGGGCTGTGCTGGAGCTGTCAGAATAGACCCTGAGCTGCCCTACCATGCCTGGGGGAAATTAGGTGCCATCCTTCATATTTAATGGCCATTTGGGGAGCAGAGGTGTTCTCTAGGTGTGGGTGACATATGGAAAAGCTGCAGAGACCATCCCTGGCCCCACCTTTCACCCTGTGTGTGTGCCAAGATGGGTAAGTGTGAAAATGGACATGGTAGAGCTCGACCTTGGGGAGAGGGGTGGACCTCCTTAAACATTCCTGGTAAAAGCAGGAGTAGCTTTCTAAGGGTTCCTTCCCATCCTTAGGGCAGAAAAATTCAGTCTGGTTTATATTGCCAAGAAGCTTTGAAAAGCTTTGAATTGACTCTGTCCTTTGCTGATGTGACTCAGCATAACATAAATCAGTATAGCTTCATCAGCACAGTAACTCAGATAAGTACAAGGAAAGGACCTGGCCCACAGATAACATGGAAATAATATAGAAAGCTAGGGATGAATAATTTCAGAATATAGATGTAGTCATGGTAGTAGTAATAATAATAATAATATTTTCCCTAGTGGGAGAAAAATAGACCTTTCATGGTTGTTGTGCCTGGAGCTATTAAATATGGATGAGACAGATGAAATGCTGCTTCTCCTATTACACAGAAATGAATAAACAGTAATTCTCAATCACTATATGCATTTCAGGCTTAAAAAACCCACAAAGACAAGTTAAATATGAACACCTGCTAACATTTGTGTGTGCCACTCTGAGGCTTTTGTCAACAAAGAGAAAAGGTTTGCTTCTTTACAAAGACTCTGATGGCGACTCAGCCAAAGGCTATTTACCCTACTAAAGTTCAGAAGATAAGTTCAATGCCAAACATGGGGGTCCATTAAACAAGTTTACTATCTGACTCACTGGGTTGATGGTTCTGCTTCTTTATTGCAGCTTTATCAGAGTGATGTAGAAAGCAAAAAACACTTCTGCAATGGGGGAAATGATGCCAGTCTTTTAGTGAATCTCTTTTCTGGGGAAGAACTGAGCTTTAGTCCTATCATAGATTATAAAAGTGTGGGGACAGCAGCCTGTGGTAAGGAGGAGGGCTAAAGCAAAAGGTGTAGGGAGTAGAGGCTGTGTGTGATCTGGCAGCATGTGAAGGCAGTCTCCCAGTTCTGTAATGGGTGATGGCCTGGGGAGACCTGGGGTTAATCTGCTTTATGACCTTCCTTGCCCTAATTCCCACGTATTTCATATGTGTGACAGCACTGCCTCATCCCATAAGGGTGTTGTAAGGATAAATGTATGAGAAGTTGTGCGAGTTTGGGCTATTCTAGCTGCAGGGGTGCAAAGACAGATTGATGTATGGCATTTAAAGCTTGGGATGTGAACTTTAGTTTGACTAGCTGTTCTGATCCCCCAAGGAAGACATGACTGTTATATGCAGTGGTAATAAAAGGCCCATCACTTAGAGCAAAGGTAAAGGAAGACAGGGGCTCTGTTTATTCCACAGAGATCAGTCCAATAAGATCACAGGGGCTGTTTCCTCCATGTATTTTTGATGCAGCTTTCAAAACTGTTTTCCCTGGACTTCTAGTCCAGGTAATTCTGTGCTAATCCTCTGAAGTCAGAGCTTGTCTTTATTACTACACATCTGATGTACTACTAGGCAACTGGGTTGCTTAGGTGAAAATGCAGTTGTTGGAATTAGGTAGTATTTTACATGCAGTTTTCCTTATTTTTTTGCCATAACTTAACCCTGAGGAAGTTGCTGTCTGTTTCTGATTGCTTCACTGTCCATGCATTTTGCATTTATCCCTATGAGCTGCTGTTTGCTGCTGCTCTGCTGCATTGATTGACCACTGGGTCAGACCAAAAATGCAGCTCATGCAGTGTCTGCTCCCTGCAGACCATGTCTGGGGAGGAATGTACAGGTCAGCATTTAGCAATAATGTAATTATAATACTGTGGATACTCCCCTAGCATTCTGTGAGATGTGTGCAGGCATTTTCTCACACTCAAATGGTGCCTTTAGTGGTCTGGGATGAATTTTATAACCAGTATTTATCTGGTTGTTTCCTGTACCCTTGTTAATGGCCACTGTGTCCTATGGAAAGAAGCTGGATGATGTCTTTTGAAGTGGATCCTTGCAACCTACCCTCACATGCAGTCACCTCATCCTTGCCTTAGAGGGACAGTGACCACCTTCCCTGCTCCACTCAGAGCTTTATTCTGCCCCCCTCAGTTTTCCTTTCCAGGCTGCAAAGTTGTAGTTCTTGTAATTCCTCATAATGTTGCTGTTTCATAATTTTGATCATCACTGTCACCGTCCCTGGTGCCATATCCTGAGGCGAGGAGAGGGATCTCAACAACACAAAGCCTTCAGGCTGTGGCAAACTGCTTTCTTAGTGACCCCTAACATTGGATATTAAATGGATTTATCATTTATTCTGTGCTGTTTTCTGTCTTCTAACCACTTTGTTTTTGCAATAATTTTCTCCTATCCCTTGAAAGCTCATCTGCTCAGAGATCCTGCATTGAGGCACCCCACTGAAATCTGAATAAACCACATCAACAGCATTTTCCCATCTGTGTAGTTGTTGACCCTTCCAGAGTATTCCAGAGCATTTATGAAGCCTGGATTTCCTTCCCTAAAGACTCAATCTGTCAGATTGTTCAAAGTGTTCAGTAATTGCATCTTTGGTGAGAGGGATATGCTTCTGTATAGTTTTTGCTGACCTGCTGATGTCAGTTTTGCTGATCTGGAGAACTCTGTAACTCCTGAATTAGTCCTTTGCATCCCTTTTCTAGAGTTACATTATATTAGCTGCCTTCTAAATTTTGGGTACCTGTAAAGCTTTAAGAGGGAGACTCCAGCCCATGTTCAGTTTCATGCCCACGTTCCCCTGGAATGGTTGGGTCAGTCCAGTGTATTAGCCCCTTTTACCAACCTTGAAAAGAAGGTTTCCAGTGTGAGAACTTCCCCAAACCTCCCTGCAAAGATCACACATGACAAAAACCCTGATTTTTTTTGTGATAATCATCTGGGTTTATTCATGCTGCATCTGTAGTTGGTTTCTTCCTGATCCATCAGTTATCTGGCACACATCTGGCTTCTCATAAGTGCAGGATAAGTTTTTATTGAGTTCCCTGCCTGGTGCAACTGTTCTTTAGGTGCTTTTTCCCACCTTTTGAAGTTCTAATATTTTAGCCACCATAAATTGAAATCCATTTTTGCTTCCTCATTTGGACACACAATTTCTGAGTTTGAGGATGTTGTCTTACTTCTCACACTTTCCCTTGCCCAGCTGCTTAGCCTGCCAGATTTCTCTGTTTCAATAATTTCTTTACCTGGGGTTTATATTTCGTCTGTGTTTCCAGCATCAATATTTCCAAACAATGCTTATACTGCCTGCAAATTTTAGCTCTCCTGGTTCTGTCTCCCAGGACCTTCTCACTTCTTGTTTTAACAACTTAACTCATTTTTACAGGTATTCCTTTAAAATTACACACAACACTGAGAATTTAACACAGTGTAAAAACTAATACTTTCCTTCCTAAGAACTGGGGGTTTGTCTCATGTCTCCTACTATAGGCTGAGAGTTTCTTGCTGTGGAGGGTGAGGGGGAATCCAGTTCTTGCACACTCCTTTTGCTGATTGTTTATAGCACCAATCTCTAGTCATAGTTTAAAGACCATTCAGTGTATTTGTGATTTAAACCAGTTATGTGACATGGAAAAGCAGTTGGTTACTTACGTATTTAAAATGTCTTTCACTGGAGAGTTATGGAAAGAAATTATTAAGCATTTAATTTAGAATGAACAAAGAAGTATGCTTCCTCATATAATTTGTACTTTATTTTGTTTAATTCTGCAGGAGACTGAAAGTGTAAATGGGTTGGAGAAAAAGAATTACAGAGATTAGTACAGGACAGGTAGCTGAGACATGATGGGTCAGTGCCACTGTCACCTGAACAGAGACCCCTTTTCTGGAGCTCTGACTGCTGGAGGTTGGGGG